AAAAAAACCAGGTTTCATACGCACTCTGTTCGCGTCAACATTGTTCCGTGGGCCGTGTCCCACTAGGTAGCGGGGCTTGGTTTCCGTTTCGTGTATTTTCCAACGTGGTCCCACTTCCCAGGGGCCGTGAGATTTTCAGATCGGATGGCAAGGAGCCGTGTGTACTTTGTACACTAGAAACCAGAACAAAACCCGTCGAGAAGTGGGACATGGCCCCAGGCCGTCTGGCATGTGTTGTGGGAGATTGCAAGTTCTTCGTTCGGGTCCTGGGGGCAGAGGTCCCACTAGCAAAAAGGATAGGCTCGAGGTTCAAGCCTCGAGCTCCTGAATCTGGATGCGTTTTATGCAGAAAAGCATTTCAATCTCGATTTCCTGCACATCTCCATAACCTCGTCCAGATTCAGGCATTCGATCCCATCCTCTTTGCTAGTGGGACTAGGCCCCTGGAGTACGCTGCTGGACTACTTGACAGCTCGGAAAGGGCCAAAAAAAAAAAAAAAAAAAACCTATTGATTGCCCCTGGAGGAAAACCAATATCCTTTGCCAACATGGAGTTGGAAGTTGGAAGCTGGAACAGACTTCTGAATGTAACACCAGCCAGCCACATACACACATACACACCAAGGTGCCGCTTATGTCCATGTGTGTGTGTGTGTGTGTGTGTGTGTGTGTGTGTGTGTGTGTGTGTGTGTGTGTTGGGGGGGGGAGGGCGGGTGGTTAAACCCACACTTTCTTTCTTTCTTTCTTTCTTTCTTTCTTTCTTTCTTTTTCCCTTTGCTATCGAAGGACAATGAGAGTTTCTCAAATTGATTGATAACAGTTTTTGTATACTATTTTTTTATCTTCCATTTCTCTTTAAATTTTCTCCTCTTTACACTTTTTTTCTTCTCTTCCATTTCTCTTTAAATTATCTCCTTTCCCCTGAAAATCAAGAGGAGAATATTTAAAGAGAACCTGAGGCTGAGAAAATTTAAGTGGTTCCCCCTGGGCAGCATCTACTGGTGTAGATTGCATGAGTACATCGTCGGTCCACCCCGGGGGCCAAGTCGCCCCGGGGGCCAAGTCCCACTAGCAGCGTTGAGCTACCTCAACGCCTGAATCTGGAGTCCGACGTGTTTGTGGAGATGTGCAGAAGTGGTGTTGAGTTTCCTGAACGGCATGTCTCCACAAACACGTCCAGATTCAGGCGTTGAGGTAGCTCAACGCTGCTAGTGGGACTTGGCCCGGGGGGGGCGGGGATTCCAAACTGAGGGAAACTTGCACGAGCACTTTCCTGAATGTATCTGACCTCAATGTCATCCAGAGCTAAGTCAAAACAGTCCTTAGCTAGTGAAAGTATGCCCTGACTGTGTAGCAGGCTCTGCACAGAATGAAGGGCAACTTTTTTTTTTTTTTTTTTTTTTTCAATCAAACAGGATTGCATAATATAATTAATATTAAACTCAAAACCAATTTGAGGCCGGGAAAACCTCGACATTTCAACCCGGAGGAAAAACTGGGGCCATTACCCAGCTTAGACTAGGCTGGAAACTGGGTCCAGCGTCCCAAGATGCAAACCTTCTAAAAAAGGTTAAACTGGACAAGGAATGATTCAAACAGGGGAAAAAAGGAAACAGATGAATAAGAAGAAAAGAAATAACCAGGCCCTGGCCTGTTACGAAAGAGACGGCCATCCGTAGGGTGTCTATTACAAGTCTTGTCCGGAGCCACCTGGTCTCTTGTATGTCAGCAGGGTGTCTCAGTCGGCGAAAGCCATTCAGCCAAAGTCATTGTTGCGAATTTCCCTTCGTGCGCCCAAGTCTTGGTGAACCAGAAGAGGCCCTTGGAGCGCCAGTCTGAGAGGATAGTGATGCGGAGCTCAGAGAGGACTCTCTTAAACATCTGCTGTCGGTGATGTCTCTCCCCCTTGAACAGGAGATCATTCCTTCCCCACCAGATGACTTCCATGATGATCCCTCTGCAGATTAGCACAATGTAGTTTTTTCCTGAAGTAAGGGGGCCCAGCTTGGCAAATTTGCCATGTAAAATGAAGGTATCAGTCCAGACTCCAGAGGTCTGAGCTGGGGTCTATGTCCCTCCACCTCTCCTTCCACCATTCCCAGACATCCTGGGATTCTGGGCAATATTGCCACAGGTGGGGGGAGGTCTCCCATGCCCAGTCGCACCTAGCACAAGTATCCTTGATGTCCATGCCTTTGGACTTCAGCCATACGGCTGTTGCTGTAACTTGGAGAGATTGGAGCCAAAGAATGGCAGCCGTCTTCTGAGATGGCATCTTCTTGAGCGCTTTCCACAGATTTGGCAGGTCTGATGGGCCCAGTTCCGTGCATTGAATATCTGCGAAGCGCTTCCTGGGAGTGACTGCAGGTTTCTTCTTGATGCGAGCTCGAAGTGCGTTCACCCCACACTTAGGTTTGTAGCGTAGCAGGGGGGTAGGGTTGACCTGTGTTTTGTCATTGTCCCACCCATACAGGAGGGGTTCTATTCTCAGGTTCTCCAGGGAGAGAGGGAGGAGGGAGCAGGTTAGCTTTTTATCGGCCTGACTCTCGTGGACTCTGACCTCTTCCCACTCCAGGGTGGTTGGGACTAGTTCATCCCCAGGCCTATGTATTCCAGGGGATTGATATTCTTTCAAGGGTTCAACACTCACCACTTCTGAACTTTAACCCCAGGGCAGAGATCCGGGCCCGGGACCTTCCAGCAGGCATCCGCCTGTAGCGGATCCACTAGCCAAGACCCCGAGGGGTGTTCTCTGTCTGGTTTTAGTGCAGCGAGCCAGTGGGGGGGGATGGCTGATTTCACCTTCAAGTTGAGGAAATTACTGGCTACATTGTGTAACCTTGGTAGTTTCCTCCTTATCTGATCTAGAGAGAGCCAGTCCCCTTCATGTGAGTCCCAGATATCCCTGATTTGGATAACTCCTTTTTCGACCCATGCCCGGCCGAAAGTGCCCAGCCCGCCGTCTGCCATGAGGACTGTGTCGTCTACTGGCTTAAAATATTTGTTTTCGAACAGGATCTGGTTTAGGATTTGGGTTTTGGTTGTTGGTTCAGTCAATAGGTCAGGCCTCAGTTTGTTCCATGCCGCCAACATGTTCCTCCATATTCGGGATTTGGGTTGCCTATTGCAGTATGACTCGGACTTGATTAGGAAGCATAGCCAGACATGCGAAGGGAGGGACAACTCCCATTCTCTCATGAGGATATGTTCTGCTATTTCCTTCCATATTTTACTCTCGTTGTTACTTAGCGCCTGAGCTGGCCACTTGGCTAGCAGACTGATATTTTGCTGACTAGGATCTAATATGCCTAATCCCCCCTGGTCCCTTGGGAAACTGATTGTTTCCCAGGCCACTTTAACCATATTATATCCTTGAAGTTCAGACGCAGCCGGTTTCCATAAAAACCTTCCCGCTATGTCCTTGATTCTTTTGTGGGCCTCGTCGCCGAGGAAGTGGACAGACAGAGGGAACCATAGGATTGAAAAGGCTGCCGAGGAAATCACTAGGGCTCTCCCAAACAGGGATAGACTAAGTTTGAAATTGCATGCCCAGCCCATTATTTTGGCTGTTACTTTTTCAGCGAGCAGGGCGTCCTGCGCTGCCGAGCAGTCCGACAGGGAGACCTGGACCAAACGTTCCGAACTGTCTGTTGGTACTTGTTTGAGGCCCCAGTCTACGCAGATAGTATGGGGGTCGGGTAGTAGAAAAGCGGATTTGTCCCAATTAATGGATGCTTCAGACAACGTACAGTGTATGTTTAGGACATCCCTAAGGGCTAGAAATGAGTCTGGGGTATTGGTGCAGGCGACTGTGAGGTCATCCGCTATCGCCCCGCCCTTCCATTGAAGCGCGTGAGGGATATTGAGTCCCACAATTTGGTCATTGGATCTGATGTTGTGGAGTAGGACCTCTTGTTGTAGGACGAAGAGAAGGGGAGCCAGCGGGCAGCCCTGTCTGAGCGACCTAGTTAGAGGAAACTCCTGTGAAATTCGCTCGTTGACTAGGACCACCGAGGTGGCGTCTATGTGCATCGCTTTTACCCATCTGCAGAAACCCAGGACGAATCCCATGCGTGATAGGGTGGTGAAAACAAAGGCCCATCCCACCTTCTCGTATGCCTTTTTCATGTCGAGGAGGAGGATGGCCACATTTTCCTTTTCCGCTGCTAGGATCTTGAGGGCCTGGATCGTCGCGAGGATATTGTCGAAAATGGAACGGCCCTTCACGAACGCCCCTTGTTCCTTGCCTACTAGAGTCGGTAAGAGGTCTGCTAGTCTGATGGCCAGGGCTTTTCCCAGGATTTTGTACGCCACGTTGAGGACAGAAATTGGTCTGTAATTTCTGACTTCTCAACGAGTTAACTTTGCAGTTTGCTGCTGAATGGATTTTTTGTTTTTGGGGTGTCATCACCTCACTTGGGCCGAGGTCCCACTAGCAAAAAGGATAGGATCAACCGCCTGAATCTGGATGTGTTTTATGCAGAGATGCAGAACAGCAGTTCAATCTCGATTTCCTGCACATCTCCATAAAGGGCGTCGTTAGACACTCCTCGGGGACGTGATTCCAAGGATTTCGTCTTCATTCCACTTGTCCTCGGAGATGAAATCGGAAATGAAAATGTGAAAACACTCCGAGGACAAATCCTTGGGCTCCGAGGATTTCCCATCCAAATGGTCCTCGGCTCCAAGGGACCTCGCGAGGTCCTTTGGGGCCCGAGGATCCGTGTTTCACGGAGAGGAGAGGGCATGCACGTAGAGAGACGTTACAACCGAGAATTCGGATCATGGCGACACCCTATTGGCTGAAAGCCTGAAGCACAACTTTTTTTCTTTTTTGTTTCCTTCTTTTTTTCTGACATTGCTCCGAGGATGAGTCCTAAAACGGATGCTCCGAGGATGAGTGTAACGAAGAAGACAAAAACGCTGAACTTTTCCGAGGATTCATCCTCGGAGCCCGAGGAGTGTCTAACGACGCCCAAACTTGTCCAGATTCAGGCATTCAATCCGATCCTCTTTGCTAGTGGGACCACGCCCTTGCTGTTCATGATTTGCTTCTATTTTTTTTTCTTTTCACTTCTTTTTTTCTTCTTCTTCTTTTTTTTTTTTTTTTTTTTGCATTAATTTTGTTTTGTGTTCTGTTTCTTCCGCCCACTGCAGGTCTTCACTCTGTCGGCAATTCCTCCGGAGCTCATGTCTCATGTTGTGAAGCAACTGTTTTCAGTCTTGGTCCCTGGTGGCCTTGTGCTCTTCAGAGATTACGGTAAGTGAAACTAACTGTTGCTCATGATCAGATGCATCAGGAGCATCTGGCTCAGATGTTGCGAAAAGGGGAGATGGCCAAGCTTATTGTGTGATCCTACCAACACCAAACACTGGCAAACAGCATAAGGAGGACTCATAAGAGAGAGAGAGAGATGGGATGAGGAAAGCAAGCCGCACACATCATTCATTTTCAATCGACACTTTGGGGCTGGAAGCCACGTACGTACACATGTGGAAAGTCAAGGTCCAATTTTGAAAATTAATCGTGATAATAAATAACATTAAGAGGACCTTCCTGGCCACCATGCGAGCCCTGGGTGTGGGGGGCGGCGGCCCGAGGCCCCCCTTCACCACGCCTACGGCGAAAGGAGTGTGAGGCTGTACTTCTTCCTTTCCTTGCTGTCTCCCCCTCGTTCTTAACGCTTGCCGGTGATAAGCAACCAGACTGCTGCCCCCCAGAAAAAAAAAGCACATTCGACTGCGCGGAGATGCAAGACAGCGCACCTTATTTAAAAAAAAAAAAAAAAAAAAAAAAAAAAATGGACAGCGCACCAGCAGAACTGCATGACTAGTACAGAGTGTTGGTGAGTCTCTACACCAATCTTTAGTCATGCACATCTGTAGGATGGGTGAACAGACGAAAGATGTCACTGTTGAGTCTTTTGAAGAAAAAAGAAAAAAAAAAAGGAAAAAGGATGGGTGAACAGCCCATAGCTATAGAGGTTAGAAGTTATAGGAGACTATTAGGAGTTGGAAGTTAGAACCGATAATAAAAATAAGGCGTAACTTCAGTAGAGTCACAAAAAGGAGTTATAAATTTTAATTGCACTATGGGGCAACATACAGTTGGCAATTGCACTTGGGGCACCCTACACCTGGGCAGAAAGCTGGGTTGTATACATTGCCCGAACTGCAACTCGAATTTGTGTCTTGGCCCCTAGTGCAATTATAACTAATTTTTGTGACTCCGGCGAAGTTTCCCCTACAATGAAAATAACAATAATCAGATCAGGAGATAGAACCATGTGCACAGTACTGATGTCATCGTTCACATCTGAGGTACAGTAACAATAAATTGTTAACACCGTGGAAATATCTGAGGCACAGTAACAGTAAATTGTTAACACCGTGGAAATATCTGAGGCACAGTTAAAGTAAGCCTTGGTAATGTCTAGAGAGAAGTGCCAGGTACAGGCGCGCAACACACGCAACTTGACGCAAGAGAGAGAGAGAGAGAGAGAGAGAGAGAGAGAGAGAGAGAGAAGTAAAGCACTCGAAAAGGCCGCCTTAAAAAAAAAAATTCGGGATAGTACAGTGTGCTGGCGAATGGTTATAAGCTGTCTGGAAGTGTCTGCAAAGATCTGGGACAGAGTAACGGCAACGGTTACAAACTGTCTGCAAAAATCTGAGGCACAGTAACGGTAATTACGAATTGATATTAAACAAGTTGATGTTAGCATTAGATTAGTTAATTTTGTCCTGCGGCAAGTAATCAATGCTGTCTGGGTTCCCCATGCCGTAACGAGGGGAAAAAATGGTGGATTTGGGGGCACTGGGCCCGGTTTCCAGAAGATGCAGCTCTCCAGGAGTAAAAGGAAAGTTCCATTCAAATAATAATAAGGGATAATTTGCAAAATGCCCCCAGAAGTTAATATATACGCCAAAATGCGCCTAAAAGATGTGGGTAGAGCGGAATGCCCCTCTGACAAAAACAATATTTTGTGAAATACCCTTGGCGTAGGTTGGACCCCCATCTTTGCAATATACCCCTACCGCGTACCATCCAACTTTGCCAAATGCCCCAGTACTTGCCAACTTCTCCTAGGCGCTATTGCAAAAGGCCAAGTCCCAAACGGGGAGGTCCAGATTGCAAAGTTGCACACCCGCCTGACAGGGGCACAACGCATAGATTTCGGCCCAGAAGGGCATTCCCCTCTAGTACCCACATGTTTCAGGGGCATTCTGGCATATATCTCAACTTGTGGGGGTATTTTGCAATTTTTCCCTCATCATAATAATAATAATAATAATAATAATAATAATAATAATAATTAATATTAACTGTCTGCAGCCGTCTGACACAAAGTAACTGTCACTTTTAACTGTCTGCGGAAATGTGAGGTCTGCAGTCATAGTTTTACTGCAGGCAATTTTTGCAGACTGTTAACTGTTCTTCAAAATTTTGAAGATTGTTTTGAAGAAGAGGATCTTGGGGACAAAAAAAGAAAAAAGAGGACTGTTGCCCCTTACATAAAAAATATAAAAAAAACAAAAAAAAAGGGGACCCGTTTCCAGCAGATGCAGCTCCCCACCAAGGGCCTCGTTCCACACCACTTATGAATTCTTACATTGTAAGGGCGCCCTACTGTCTTTACCGGAATAGAACGCCCGGTCATTCCGACCGCATCTGGTCTGAAAGTTGCCCCAATTACAGCTATAATGACCGGGTGTTCTATTTGGGTGAAGACAGAGGGCAAAAGGCTTGCCTTGGCCGGCCAGCCTACCATCTTCCCCCATATAGAACGTAACGAACCGTAATTATGGCTGTATCTAGTGAAAGTGGATGACTAAATACAGCTCTAATGACAGTATGTTCTATGCAGAGGAGGACCGTAGAGGTTCACTCACCAAAAAACATTTTGCTCATGCAGAGTCCGAGAAATCCATCTTAGAAAAATGGCTGAATGTAGTGAGTCCGAGAAGGCCATATCCAAAGCACATGCTGATGCATACTAGTCCGAGAAATCCATTTAGAAAAATGGCCGAATGTAGCGAGTCGGAGAAGGCCATATCCAAACTGTTACACCGGAAGAGTCGGGAATGAGAAGAGGTTTGAGCAGCCCCATGGGCTTTTGCCTTGATGGTTTGTCTGATTCGTTGACAGACTTTTTGTTGATGTTTGCGAGCCAGGTGTTTTGAAGATGTGTGGTACGGTGGTACCTGGGTCAGGGGGGATAGTTTATGGTTGGTGAAATTGCGTCCTGCTGGTGGGGAGGGCTAGCTAGTGGGATTGGACTAGGGCATAGCCACAGCTGAGATGGTGGCTTAGCTGTCATAAGTCTTGCCGGAGAGAGGAAAGAGGTTGGGGGGGTTGGTGCTGCGCTTATTGGGTGAGGGTAGAGGATGCTGAGTTTACCTGATTTCTGTTTTTCCTCCTCTTGTGAACTATGGGTGGAGGAGGTTGGCTTGTCGTGAGAGGAGGAGTCGTCGAGGAATGTGTCCACTGTGTGGTTGTGGCTGCTGTTCTCATCCCACGAAGTATGTGGTGGAGGAGGTCGGTTCGTCGGGGGATGAAGAAGAGTAGGGGGTTAGAGGGTAGAGGGAGGATGGTTCTTTTAATTGCAGCCGGCTCGTAAAACACAATCCAAGGTCATTTTTTTGCATCTGAGTCTTATGAAGTCTTCTAAATTTCTATTGGGAATCTTCACAAGTTTGGTGCTCGTTGCAGTGGGTTGTGTGGGCTGCGATGGTTGGAAATAATGTGCTCTGCGGCGAAGGGGTTAGGCTGTAGGCAGTGTAGGGTGGAAATAGGGCACAGCGGCGGTGGAGATGGTGGCTCTACAGCGGTAAGTCTTGCCGGGAGTAGGGTTGAAAAGGAATAGTGTCGGTTGATGCAACCAGTGTCTGGAGGAGCTGGATGATCGGAACTACAGCTAGGGTGATGATTGGGGCTTGGCTTCTATTTGCTGATGTCCTTGGTCCCGGTGGTTTGCGAATGGACGAGGCCAGAACGACGCTGGTCGGTGCTAAGGCTTGGTCGCACTGCCCTGTAACTCGAGCTGCACGGGGGTCTGAGACCTGGTAGAGAGATCTAGGGAGTTGTCGAGGATGGAAGGCACTCTTGTGTCTACTGGCGAGCTGGTACTCAGTCGACGCTGGACGGAGCTAGGGCAGGTCGCTTTGCCCTGTAGCCTAGCAGGTGGGGGGTTTCTGGGGTGGGTCGTGCCACTCTGTAACCTAGGAGTTGGGGGTGTGAGGCCTGATTGAGATTGAGTATCGGGACATTGGGGGGAGGCACATAGGGTTGGGCTGCTGAAAGCACTAAGGCGGGTGGTTTTTTCGGTCTGAATGTTCCTAAGATCCAACGTTTGGTTGGTTGTTCATGGTTGCCAAGGGGGGTCTTAAGAATGATTTAGGATTCTGGGGACTCCTAGCAACTCATCTTCGACGGCTCCATTGCTAATATACTCAGTAATCTGCGACTGTTCGAGGCCAGAACGACGCTGGCCGGTGTTGGGGTGTTGCCCTGTATGCAGGAGTGTGAGGCCTGGTAGAGAGATCTGGGGATGCTTTGGGGTGGGCATTCCAATGGACAACCAAGGGTTGCTCCTGGGACGACGCTGGGCGGACCTAGGGTGAGTCGTGTTGCCCTGTAACCCAGCGGGGGGGGGGGGTGAGGCCTGGAGGAGCTCGGCAAGGAGTATGACTGTGCTGGAGAGTTTTAGAAGGGTTGCTAGGGATCCACAGGGTTCTTAGCATTTGTAGGACCTCTATGGTGGCGTGTTATTTTGTGGCCAGACCTTTTTTTTTCTGAAGTTGTTGTAGTAATTTTCTAAGTCGTTCAAAATTTTCTTAGCCAAAGCCGGGTGATGGCCTCGGTATCTCAAACTTTCAAAATTCTATGTAAATTTTCATATGGGATGCTGGGCCCGGTTCCCAGCACGTGCTGCTCCCCACGAATTAGATTGGAGTCTTGTCCTACTTTAAAAAAAAAAAAAAAAAAAAAAAAAGAAAAGAAAAAGATACATTTGATAA